CAGGCTTAGGGATGCCCCACACTTCTGTGAGTTTTATCTCCAGGAGGCTCTTAAAATGAAGATGAAAGAAAAATTCTCTCATATTTCTGGCAAGGGGAAAGGAAAAGTAGCAATACTGAAATATGTCCAGAGCATTCCACCTTTAACAAGGGCTGCCCTCAAGAGAAACTACTTTACCAGAGCCTAATCTACTGGGTTTTTCTTTTCAGAGCCTAACTAACCTGATAGAAGGGAACTATCCAACTCCAGCCCCCTCTAATCAGCATGCCCCATCTAAGGGGGTGAAACTGAAAAGCATTCATGAAGGTCACAGTCCAGGGGCTCAGGCTCACTGAAAGACTGGGATGTAACCACAGGACTACAGAATGCTTCCTCCCTCCACTTCGTCCCTGCCACCATATCACTAAAGGATTATTTATCATAGTTCCTTTTACCCAGTACATCATGTCCAGCTTTCAACAAAACAAATTACAAGGCATACTAAAAGGCAACCCCCCTCTACACTTTTAAAATACAGAGCAAGCATCAGAACCAGATCAGATATGGCAGAGTTGTCAAAAGTACCAGACAAGAATTTAAAAGAACTATGATCAATATGCTAAAGGCTCTAAAGGTAAAAGCAGACAATATGAAGAACAGATGGGTAATGTAAGCAGAGAGATAGAAATTCTGAGACAGAATAAAAAAGAACTGTAGAAATAAAAAATACTTTAACAGAGACAAAGAATGCCTTTGATGGGACCTATTAGTAGAAGGGCATGGCTAAGAAACAAATCAGTGAGCTTGAGTCTATGCCAGTAGAAATCCCAGAACTAAAAGCAAAGAGAAAAATGGCTGGAAAAAAAATGTAACAAAATATTCAAGAACTGTGGGATGACTATAAAGGTTTAACATAGGCATAATGGGAATACCAGAGGAGAAGAAAGAAAGGAGCAAAAGAAGTGTTTGAAATAGTAAAGACTGAGAATTTCCCCATATTAATGCCAAACATTAAACCACAGATCCAGGAAGCTCAAAGACCATCAAACAGGATAAATGTTAAAAAAAAAAGCATCAAGGCATATCATATTTAAACTGCAGAAATCAAAGATGAAGAAAAAATCTTGAAAGAAGACAGAGGAAACACCTTACCTACAGAGGAGTAAGGATAAGAACTACATCAGACTTCTCCTCAGAAATCATGCAAACAAGAAGAAAGTGAAGTAAGATACATAAAGTTTAGACAGGAAAAAAACAAACAAATATGAACTTAAAATTCTGCATCCTATGAAATTATCCTTCAAAGTGCAGGAGACATATTTTCTGAGACAAACAAAAATTGAAGGAATTTGTTGCCAGCAGAGACCTACTTTGCAAGAAATATTATAAAAATATTCTCCAGAGAAAAGGAAAATAACGTCAGAAATTCAATCTATGCAAAGAAGAGCATTAGAGAAGGAACAAGCGAAAATAAGATAAAAACTTTTATTTTTTCACTTATAAATGATTAAACAGATAACAGTTCAAAATAGTAATAGCAACATGTTTGATGTATGGACAACTGTGCTGTACCCATGAAACTGTACAGTACTACTTGAAAGTAAACTGGGATAAGTTGTAATGTATATTGAAAACTCTACAGCAGCCATTTAAAAAGGTAAACAAACAAACAAAACAAAACAGAAGTAATTAATATGCTAAAAAAAGAAGAAAAAAATAGAATCACACAAAATGCTCCATAAAACCCACAAAAGATGGGAGAAGAGTGAAACAGAAGAACAAGAATAAAGAACAAGGGCAGCAAATAGAAAAGTCACAAATACAGCAGATATTAATCAAAGTATAGGAAAACTCACATTAAAAGTCAATGGTCTAAACACATCAATTAAAAGACCAATTAATAGCTTGTTAGAATGGATCAAAAGACCCAACTGTATGTCATGTACAAGAAAACCACTTTATTTTGTGTGTGTGTGAGGGAGGTAATTAGATAATTTTATTTATTTGTTTATTTTTATTTTAATGGAGGTACTGGAGATTGAACCCAGGACCTCTTGGCATGCTCAGCATGCACTCTACCACTGAGCTACACTCTCCCCCAAGAAACCCAACTTAAGTATAAAGATGCATATAGATTAAAAGTAAAGGTATTACGTAATAATAAAGGGCCAATTCTCTAAGAAGACATAACAAATTTTATTATAGATGCACTTAACAAGAGAACATTAAAATACAGAAGGCAAATACTGACAGAACTGCAAGAAGAAACAGATAAATCTACCATCACAGTTGGAGACTTCAAGACCTTCTATCAGTAAATGGACAGATTCAGCAGGCAGAAAATCAGTAAGTACCATAATTGAACTCTACAGTATCACCAGACAGCTGAATATAAATATCATCTATAGAATACTTCATTCAACAAGAGAAGAATAAACATTTTTATTAAGCTCACATGGAACATTCACCAAGATAGACCACATTCTGATCCATAAAAATACACCTTAACAAATTTAAAAGAATAGAAATCATACAATGTCTCAGACTACAGTGGAATGATCTTAGAATCAATAATAGAAAGATAGCTGGAAAATCTCCACATACTTGGAGATTAAATAACACATTACTAAATAATACATGGTTCAAAGAAGAAATCTCAAGAGATATTTAAAAACATTTTAGCTAAACGAGAATAAAAAATAACATCAAAATTTTGGGGATGCAGTGAAAATAGGGCTTAAAGCGAACTTTATAGCATTAATTGTAAGTACTGAGAAAAGAGAAAGATCTAAAATCAATAATCTAGGCTTCTACCTTAGAAAACTAGAAAAATAAAAGGAAATTAAATCTACAGTGAACCAAAGAAAAGAAATAACAAAAAATTAGAGCAAAAATAAAAGAGGCTGAAAATAGGAAATCCATATATAAAATCAATGGAACCAAAAGCTGGCTCTTTGAAAAGATCAACAACAGCCAAGAAAACCAAGAAAAGAGAGGACACAAATTGCTAGTGTCAAAAATGAAAGAAGGGCATCACTATAGATCTCATGGGCATTAAAAGAATAAGAATAATTAAAGAACATTATGAACAACCCTATGCCCACAAATTTGTTAATCTACATGAAATAAACCAATTTCTTAAATGATACAATCTGTCAAAACTCACAGAAGAAGAACTGAATAATCTGAATAGGCCTGTATTTATTAAGGAAATTTAATCAATAATTAAAAACCTTCCAAAACAGAAAGCACTAGGCCCATATGAGCTCACTGGTGAATTCTACCAAGTATTTATTATATTGACTGCCTAGAATTTCTTCTGCCAAATAGAAGCTAACTCATTCTGTAAGTCCAGCATTATTCTAATACCAAAACCAAAGACATTACAATAATGGGAAATTATAGACAAATATCTTTTCAGGCAAAAATCCTCAACAAAATATTACCAAATCAAATCCAACAATGTATAAAAAGAATTATACTTCATGACCAAGTAGGATTTATCCCAGATATGCAAAGCTGGTTAAATATTCAAAAACCAAATTAATGTAATCCATCACATAAACAAGCTACAGAAGAAAAATGACATACTCATATCAATACATGCAGAAAATGCCTTTGACAAAATCCAATCTCATTCATGATAAAAACAGCAGAAGCTGAGGGGAACATCCTCAACTTAATTAAAAAACACATACAAAAATCTATAGCTAACATCTTACTTAGTGGAATAAAACTATGGCTTTCTCACCAAGATCAGGAGAAAGGCAAGGATGTCCCCTCTAACCATTCCTTTTCAACATCATCCTGGAGCTCTAGATAATGCAACAAGAAAAGGAAACAGACATTACACAAATTGGGAAGGAAGAAATAAACTGTACTTGTTAACAGGTGACATGACTGTTTATGTAGAAAATGTGAGAATCAAAAATACTCCTGGGACCAAGAAGCAATTATAGCAACATTGTAGGGTACAAGGTAAATATACAAAAGTCAATTGCTTTCTTATATACCAGCAATGAAACATTGGAATTTGAAATTAAAAATGCAATGCCATTCACATTAGTACCCTCCAAATGAAACAGGTATAAGTATAACAAAATATGTACAATATCTGTATGAGGAAAACTATGAAATCCTCATGAAAGAAATCAAAGAACTAAATAAACGGAGAAATTCCATGTTCATAGAAAAAAAGACACAATGTTGTCAAGATGTCCGTTCTTCCCAACTTGATCTATAGATTCATTGCCATCCCAGTGAAAACACCAGCAAGCTATTTGCAGACGTTGATAAACTGATTCTAAAGTTTAGATGGAAAGGCAAAAGAATCAGAAGAGCCAATATTGAAAAATACAATATTGAAGGAGAAAAACAAAATTGGAGGACAGACACTTCAGGCAACAAAAGGTGTCAGAACAACTGGACATCCATGAGCAAAAAAAATGAATCCAGACACAGATTTTATATAATTCACAAATATTAATTAAAAATAGATCACAGATATAAATGTAAAATGCAAAACTAAGTTAAATCCTAGAAGATAACACAGGAGAAAATTTTAGATGACTGTAGGTTTGGTGATAACTTTTAGATACAACACAAAAGCCACAATCCATGAAGGAAACTAAGTTGGACTTCCTTAAAATTAAAAACTTCTGCTCTGCAAAAGACACTATCAAAAGAATGAGAGGATAAGACACAGACTGGGGAAAAATATTTCTAAAAGACATATGATTAAATACTATTATCCAAAATACACAAATAAATCTTAAGAGTCAAAGGAAAAGGAACAACTGACTAAAAATGGGCAAAAGATCTGAAAAGATATACAGATGTCAAATAAACATATGAAAAGATGCTCAATAACATGTTATTAGGGAATTGCAGATTGAAATGATAAGATACCTTGACATTAGCATGGTGAAAATCCAAAACACTGACAACATCAAATGCTGCTAAATATGTCGAACAGGAACTCTCATTTGTTGCTGATGGGAATGCAAAATGGCAGAGCCACTTCCACTCTTGAAGACAGTTTGGCCTTTTCTCACAAAACAAAACATACTCTTACCATATGATCCAGCAATTGCATTCCCTGGTATTTACTCAAAGAAGTCAAAAACTTATATCCACACAAAAACCTACACAAGAATGTTTAAATAAGCTTTATTCATAAGTGCCAAAACTTGGCAGCAACTAAGACATCCTTCAGCAGGTGAATGCATAAACAATGGTACATCCAGACAATGGAATACTATTTAGCACTAACAACAACTGAGCTATCAAGCCATGAAAGGACATGGAAGAACCTTAAGGGCATATTACTAAGTAAAAGAAGCCAATCTGAAAAGGCTACTTACTGTATGATTCCAACTATATAACATTCTAGGAAACATCAAACCATGGAGAGTTATGGATGGGTGGTTGCAGGGGTTGGGTGAAGGGGAAGAGTAGAGAGAAATTTTAGGGCAATAAACCTATACTGTATGATAATACAATGGTGGATACATGTCATTATACATCTTTCAAAAACCACACAATGTACATCACCTAGAGTGAACCCTAATGTGAAAAACGGACTTTGGGTGAAATGATGTATGAAGGTAACAAATATACGATTTTGGTGTGGGATGTTGATAGTGGTAGAGGCTGTCTATGAGAAGTATATGAGAACTCCCTACTTTTCTCTCAATTCTGCTGTGAATCTAAAACTGCTCTAAAAAAAAGGTCTATGTTAAAAAAAATGTGCTAGGCATTTGATGAGCTTGAGAGTAGAAAATGTTTTTAACAGAAAAAAAAAACTTTGTGTTAGTGAATGGAATACTTTTTTAAAGTATAAATATTATGTTGAAGCACAGATAAATTTAATTAAGGAATGTGCAAGACAATTTGTGAAGAAAGCTTTGGGGATTAAGTTCTATAAACGTATGTAGAAACTAGTGCTATTTAAGTCTTAACGAAAATGTTTTGGTAAGGTTTCAGGATCAAAATTTTTACTTTTTTTTTTCTTTTTAGGAAGAAAGTATATGGAGAATATTGTTGGAAGACATATTTAGGCAAGGCTTAACTGTGTGTGTACTTTTTCATTTAGAGTTAATTTTGCCCAAATGCCAAGCTAGAGGAGAATGGTGTGGTAGTCTGAGTTTTTGCCCCCTCAACAAGAAGTAGAGTGGAGGTTCTGGCTGAGAATGTGTGAGGCTATTCACTGCAGAAAGCAAGAAGCAGAAAGAGCCCTCACCATGGCAGAGTTGCTGAAGGCCACGCTTGAAAGAGAAGTCGGGCAGTCTGTCCAGCCTATTAACCATGTTGGGAAGGAATCCAGGTATATAGGTCTGGCTACTGAGGCCTTTCCTCTGGCTGTGCTCGGGGCCGTCTGTTTGTTCGCCTTCGCTGGCATCTGTGTGGCTCGTCAGAATGCCGGGGAGGGTAGGGAGGTGATGCTCTGCTCCGATGTTGGGTAGAGGCTCTGCGGATGGGGCCCGGACGCGCCTCACGGCCAATCAAGTCAGCTTCGCCAGCATGTTCAAGCCGGCGCCTTGAAGAATCACTGGAGAACCCGCGCTGTGAAGTTGGGTAGGAGTGCACACGGGCACCTTGGGAGTAGGGCGGGAACGGATGTCGAGCCTGGGGAAAGGGCACAGGTCTCCGCAGTGAATGGGAGCACGAAGACGTGGGTGGGAACCAGGAAAAGGACTGTTCACCTGGGTCACCTCTGCTATCACGGGGCTGTCTCTGGCTCACCGGGCCTGAGTGTCCTCTGGCAGGGCCATCCCTGATCCACCTGCCCACAGGGTCGCGGCATGGGAGGTACACGCCCCAGGCGTCAGCCACGTGCGCCAGCAGCAGCTGAGAGAGATGGCGGTGGGCGCGCTCGTCCCAGTGCACGCCATCTCGATGCCGGTGCTGCCCAGCGTGCCGGAAGTGGAAATGGAGGTCCAGCACGTCGAAGCCATGCCTGCTGGCCTCAGTCGAGCTGTAGAAGTTGGCCTCCATCACGTCTTCTCGCAGGCGCACGCGGCGGGACGGGCGGTCTGGCGGGAGGAAGCTCGCGGAGACCATCTCGGCCACCGGCATGGCGGTGTTCCACACCAGGAGGCAGGCCTCGGGCAGCACCTGGCCCAGGTGTCCGAACAGGCTCTCCAAGTCCTCCCGGTAGCTCCTCCGGAAGTCGGGGCCGTACCTGGAGAGGTCCCAGAGGCAGGAGTTCATGACCACCACGTCCGGGGCGTGCTCGCCGCGCCGCAGGTCTTCCAGGACGTCCTCGACGTACGGGGAGTACGCGCGCGTGAGGAAGTAGAAACGCACCAGGTGGTGGCCCGAACGGAACTGGCGGACCTCGCGGTAGTGGGTGCCGCGGTGCAAGCCTTCCCACCTGCCGCCCTCCAGCAGCACGTCCTGCTCGAAGCTCAGCTCGCCCTTGTCCTTCAGCTGTCTGGGAGAGAGCAGGCAGTCCTTCTGCAGCAGGAGCACCAGGTCCTTGTACACAGTCCTCTGGACAGAGTCCCCCATGACCACCACAAACTTGTTGTGCAGCAGCTGCCGGACTTCGCAAGCCCGCAGGTGGGCCATGGTGGCGGAGGGCGGGGTGGTGGCCTCGCTCCTGCCTTTGCTCGGGCAGGTCTGAGGAGAGCTCAGGGAAGGTCTGAGGAGAGCTCGGGGGAAGTCTGAGGAGAGCTCGAGGGAAAGTCTGAGGAGAGTTCGAGGGAAAGTCTGAGGAGAGTTCGGGGGAAGTCTGAGCAGAGCTCGGGGGAGGTCTGAGGAGAGCTCGGGGGAGGGGCAGAACTGCACCGGAAGGAGAGGGGTGGGCCGGCGGCGCGGGGCGTCTCTTTCTGGCGCGGGGGTCCCGGGCCGCGACGCAAATGGAGGCAGCAGCCCGACGCGCTGAAGTCCGCCTCAGCCAGAGCTGACTTTGGCCTAGAGCGTGACCTCTGACCCACGGAGCTCTTGTGCGAGGCTCAGGCTCCACCTGGCGGAGGGGAGGCGCAGAACCCCCACGGGAACCTGCCGCGCTCAGCGTTGTCTTTCAGTGGTAACGCGCTTGCTTTCAGGTACCTCAGGCTTGGACTGCTATTACTCTGCACTTCTGGGCGCATGCGGTCCACTGCCTGCTCTTTGTTTTACCAGTGTCTGAATTATGGGGCATACAGTCGCATGTGGGATGCTTGTCTGCCCCTGACTCTTGCTTTCTCTATGTGTTCCCTTCTCTACTTGAGAATTTCTTCGTTGCTGGCTTGGTTCTCCTTATGTACTGCCACCTCCTGTTCTAGCGGCATTTGGCGAATGTCTCCCGCTGGGGTCTGATCTATAGCCAGGACTTCCAGGCAGTGATTGGCAGAATACTTGGGTCTAGTGCAAATATTGAGGGTTCAATTCTATTTTTTTCCTCTAATTAAACTGCTTATTGTCACCTCACTGTGGATTCTCATGCACTTGCGAGAAATAATACACAGATATTTTCATATACCCTTTACTCACTTTGCCACAGGGAGAACACTCTTATCACCACCCTCCGGCTCTATTTCCCTAATGCCTGGTAACTGCTAAGCTGTTCCCCATTTCCAGAATAATGCCATTTGGAGAATTCTATATGAATATGGTAATATAGTGTACAACCTTGGGAGAATGACTTTTTCACTCAGCATCATTCTCTGGAGATTCATGCAGGTTCTCTGGAGATTCATCCAGTGTGTCCGCTTTGTAAACCCAGTGTGTTTTCACCTGTTTTCTTCATTAGAGTGAGTTTCCCAGTGGTGTAAATGTGTCAGTACTCTGTTCCCTTTTTATTAGCTGAGTACTATTCCATGGTATGGGCTGTACCACAGTCGCAGTCACTTTAACCATTTGCTCTTTAAAAGACTTTGGGTTGTTTCCAGTTTTGGGTGATTACAAATCATGCTGTGCTGTGCACATTACTGTACAGGTTTCTCTGAGAACCTAGGTTTTTGTTTCTTTGGGATGAGCCCTGAAGATGATGGTTGTGAATTTAGTGCTTTAAGAAATACCCAGACTGCTTTCCAGAGGGGCTGCACCAGTTTACATTCCAAGTATCAATGTATGAGTGGGCAGTTTGCTTCTTGAGGATATACATATGAACATCCTGGGTATGACCTTTCTGATTGTCTGAACCCTGGTCTTCTTTTGTGCTTGGGTATGGATGTAAGGTTCAAGCTGTACAATGCAGTCCTCCTTTATCTTTCTGCATGGATGTGAGCTTCTAGTGAGTGTAGCCTGAGCCTCTTTGTCCTTGATTAGGGATGTGAGCTTCCTGATGAATAAATCCTCTCCCTCTCTGTTCTTGGTCAGGCATGCTAACCTCCCAGCCCTGTTTTGAGCCTGTTTTTTTAAACAGGTTAATAAACAGTCCCCTCTTAAAATATCCCTGTGATATATTTATCAGCCATGAAGACCTTCATGTAAAATGGCTTATTTTGGAGCCATTGGATTTATTTTTTAGTTATGACACAGAAATATAAATTCATAAAATCATAAAAGTCACAAAATAGCATCTGTAAATATTATCAAGAATTGTGCTTATCTGTACATTAAAGGAAAATTCATGTATTTTACATACTTTCTCTGTACTTATATATATATATATGTGACAAAAAGTTGGTATAAACCAATTGGTAATTTCTCCTCATTTTTACAAAATTATTAGTGGGGTCTTCAAAATCTTTTACCTTCACTACAGACAGAGTATGATTTATATTGCTTTAGGAATTTATTTTTGGACCCCCTAAAATCAATTATTTGTTCTCACTGCCAAGAAAGCAAATAGAAATTACTCAATAGTGCATATAAGAATTACCTTAAATTTTGTTATTTTAAAAAAGCAAAGTGGTTAGTTGTATATTGCATTTTAAAAGAAATAATAATGGAACTAAAGTCAATTTAGAAAAACTTACATAATCACCTTCTGTTAGTATTGTTGTTACTTCATGGACAGGCTACCCTTTCTCTGGGAGAGCTACCCTTTCTCTGGGAGAGATTTTCGCCAAGTTTTGGTGCTATCTTAAAAAAGCCCTTATACTACATCTAAAAAACATGTATATGTGGCTAAAGAAGCATTATATTTATTAGAATATCATTGTGGTTTTTATATGCCCAAATTACAGGAAATTAAATTTTTAATTGAATAAAATGAAAAGAAAGAGATCAGTTTCAGTTTTTTTCTTAAGGAACTAATCTTTTCATAAAGATAAGAACTTATCTCTGTCTTCAGAGTACAAGTGAAATAAGTACTGTCATTTAATCAGTTACGTTTTTAAGAAGAGTTTTATCTACTTGTTTATTCACATAGATTTTTTAAAAAATTCAGTTAATTGACAGGTTCGCATTTCCTTTTGTATTGTATAAATAGAACCTGGAAAGACATTGCTTTGTATTGTATTCCATATTATAAGTACAGAAAAACTTCAGTTTAGGACCAGTGAATGTTAAAGCAGGTAGAAAAAGATGTGAGCATTAACTTTCTTTAACTCATTTTCCAATATGACCATTTTTTCAACTGTTTTGCCTCCAATGCCTAAAATTCTTTATCAATAATATAACTCTGTAACATGTTCAGTTTTAAAGTGTTATACTATCATATAGCTTATTTTATAATATTTTCCTTTTTTAGTATTCTTTAAAATTACAAATATAATAGATGACCTTTAAACATTGTAAATAGAGAAGTAAAATAAATACTCAAAATATTTTCTTTACTCCTATGCATTCTCAAATATTGGGCATATGTCAATTCAGATCTCTTTTTATACCTTGACAAATGATGTTTAAATACACATATACTTATACATTTTGTTACATAAAATTTGTCATTTTCCAAATTATTCTGTAACTTATTTTTTCATCTAACATTATATAAGAAATGTTTACCTTGCATCAAGTTCGCTAGAAAACAGAGCTTAAAGAAAAAGCTGATGTGTTTAGCAAGTATATTCCCAGAAGAGTAAGAATGAGTCAGGGAAGAAAGGACAGTTTTTCTCAGAGTGATGGGTGAAAATGTGTGTCCCAGCTCGTATCTCCCACATGTCAAAAGTTCCTTCACTGCATAGTGCTTTCATTCCCCTGCAATTCCAAATTGCCAGTGTGGGAGCACCAGATGACTGCCCCGCCCCCCCCCCACCCCTCCAGCTGCTCATAATTCAGGAGCAACAGAAAAGCCCTGAGACAAAAAGTAGGAGGTATGGTAAGGCCTGAGAAGAGTCGATTGCCACCAAAACAGCAGGGTAAAACAAGTAGCCAAAGGCCTGGACAGAGGTTCTATCACTAGGATCTGAGGTGATAGTCCATACTGATGTCTGAAACATGCCTTTCCACCTTTCCTTTGTGTTACTGATCTGGTTCATTCCTTTAAATGGATAAATGATACTGAATTGAATGGATATACTGCAACTTATTTAAATAATATCCTAAAAATAATAGTTCTAATGATGGTGAGAGGGTAAAGGAAATAAGGCAAGAGGGGATGAAGAAGAGCAAAGCACTGTACTCAAGTCCTTGGGTCAGGACCACGTCAGTGAATTCTCCCACCCCAAACTCCAACCTCCACTTCCAGCCCCCATCTCACTCTCTGCAGATCTACGTCCTGCTGGTACAAATTAGCTATTTCCTGAAATTCCATTGGCACAGGAGCTGGGATTGTACTTCCATGCTCAAATTGGGCTAAAATCTTACTTGGTTATTGAACTGGAAGCAGTGAGAAACCATGAGAGCAGGTCTTCGGGTCTTGTACCTTTCCAGTTTGACTGTGGTCATTACGTGGTCCCAGGCAGGCGGAGGGTGTTCTGCTCTGATGTGGAGGATGAGGCTGCTGCTTCTAGCTGGGGAACTTCAGGAGGCCTTAGAAATTCAAGACTCCTAGGCTCATCCACCCAAGTGTCCTCCTGCCAGATCTGAGGGTCTCAGCCTTTTCTCTCAGGGCCCTGACGTTGACATGGGAGAACTTCTGAGGCTGTGCGTTTAGTTTCCTTTGCAGCTTCAACACTGTTATAATCAGATTCCTGCCTTGATTTTCATGAGTATGTCTTGAGGTTTCCAGAGATAAGAAATCTCCATGAAAGCTGCCATAGAAGTCCTCTGGGTTCAAGAGAATGCCTTAATTTAGTAATTATCTTCCTTGAGCCTATCATTTTATTTTTAGAAGTTGTCTAGCCCTATCTAAAGCTTACCGCAACATCTTTGTATTTCTCATTTTCTCCATACTGATTAAGTGCTGTAGATACTTGCCTCTCCCCACCTTCCTCCACCTCTACTTCAAGCCAGTTAACCATAAATGAAAGCATAATTGTGATGCTCTTATGTGCCATGGTAATACCATACTACTTAACACCAGCAATTGTGTCCCTTCTGCTGTTGGACGCTAGGCATCCAACTCCAAAAACCTATCCTAAAGGTCTGTCTTCTATAATAATTTCTGGTACTAATTGTTTGGGCCCTCATATTAACTTCTTGGGATTGCCATAACGAATTACCACAAACTGGGTGCTTTAAAACAACAGAAATTATCCAAAATCAAAATGTCTCATTCTCAACTCAATAGAAGAGGGTCCTTCCTTGCCTTTCCTGGCTTTTGGTAGTCCAATGAGTTCCTTGGCTTGTACAGTATAACTCTAAATTCTACTTCAGTCTTTACATGGTATTCTTCCTGTGTATCTCTGTCTCTTCTGTTCTTATAAGGACACCAGTCATACTGGATTGAGGGCTAACCCCACTTTTGTATGACCTCTTTTAACTGTTTACATCAGCAATGACCCCATTTGCAGTAAGGTCACATTCTGAGATATTGAGAGTTAGAACTTCAACTGTCTCTTTGGCGCACACAGTTCAACCAAGAACATTCTTAACAAAAAGAACCTGAGACATAGATTAAGTATTTAGGAAGTACAATTCCAGGGCTGTGAGAATAAAGGAAATGGAAACGGGGACAGGGAAGAGCAAGAAACAGTTCATGGTGAAATATTATCATTCTGGCCATACTTCACAACTCACCTTGGCAAACCACAGTGGCTTCTGACCCAGATGTATTTATTTGCTCACGTATGCCATTTCCAGTTAGGGAGTAAAGAGAAACTCAGACTCATGTTTATCCCAAGGAGTCAGGAAAAGAGGAGCTTTTCCCCCATGCCGGATGCCCTCCTGGGTCCTATTTCCCATTGGTTAAAATTTGTCCTATAGGGCTTTAACTCTTCTGTAGCTCTGTTGTGTTACTTGGACCCTTTAGCAGCTACTTGGGAAACTCTGCAGTATGGTATTTCATCCATGTCTGAAAGCAGTGAGAAGAGCCACAGACTTTAGACCTGTGAACAGACAGGTTTATGAAGAGTTCTTAGGTTTTATCTTGAGGGCTCTCATCATTTGCTCTGTATTTATTAGGGTGGGGAGAAAGAGTAATGTGTCTTGCTTTTTCCCAGTGTGAGTCTGTAATTAATTATTCTGATATTTTTGCACAATCTAGTCTTGCTGTCTTTAATTGTTAACTCTGAGCTTGGGGAGCCTTTGAGGACCCTTTGGACAATCAGACCCCTTCTTCCTACTACTTAGGATATTTGGGGCCGTCATTTCCCTACTATAATTTATCCAATGATCAGATCCTGTCTACTCTTTCTCTTCTACTATTTTCTTAAACTGTCATCAGAATTTCTTTTTTGTGTTCCAGTACTGCTAATTAAAACTTTTTCCCCCTAGAACTTCAGTGTAATCAAGAATAAGAGGAAAGCAGAAAATTGTGCTTATTCTGCCATCTTGAACTGAATTCCATCCATTTAATGTTTTGATTGTGGAAATAAGTATATGATCTTGTACAGTTAATTTCACCTTACTAAGACTGTTTCTATTAAGATGGTACTGGTGGCAGGGAAAGTAAATAATCTCTAAGGTAATTTTCACCTCATTATGTTGTATAACTCTGTGCATCTATGATTAGAAAGTTAAAACAACATCTTGTTAGCACATTATGTTAGGAGAAAATTATTTTTTATCCTAGCGATCTTTTCAACCCTCTGATCCTCCAGATACCTCCCTGCCCTTCAGCTATATGAATACACTAGTTTGAAAAAAAGAGCTAGGAAAAAAAAACTAAAGATCATAGGCTATCATGTGTGTGTGAGTGTGCACGTGAGTGTGTGCGGCTGTGCCTAATTTAAGTCTATAATCCAATTGTTTTGACTTCCTTTTAGCTTTGAAGCTTTTTAGCCAGAGAGGCCTTTCCTGACCATCTTACCCATATCTCCTCTTCCTCCATCACCTGAGCTTCTTACCCTACTTTACTTTTTTTCACTTACCACTACTGCCTAACATTTTATTAATGATTTGTTTATTATGTACATATCCTGTCATAATTTTAGCTCCATGAGAAATGGCTTGTTTTTGTTTGTTGTTGTTTCCTCAGTTCTTAAGACCATGTTGGGAATGTGGCTGGTTCTCAATAAATACTTACTGAATGAAAGAAAGAATGAACTTTGGAAGCTCAGTATTGGAAGTGATCTGTAAAAGCTAAACAATATGTTGAGGGGTATCGCTCAGTGGTAGAGTATGTGCTTAGCTTGCATAAGGTCCTGGATTTATTCCCCAGTACCTCCATCAAAACAAACAAACAAACAAACAAACCTAAACACTATGGAATGTTGGAATTGTCTAAATAGCACGCCTGTTAAAGAATTATTAACAAAACAGAAACAGACTGACAGACATAGAGAACAAACTTATGGTTACCAGGGGACAAAGAGGGTGGGGATGGATAAATCAGGAGTTTGAAATTTGCACCTCTTGGGGAGTGATGGAAATGTTAAATCTCTTGATTGTGGTGGTGGTTTCATAGGTGTATCTATCAAAATTTATCAAATTATACATCTGAAATATGTGTAGTTTTCTGTGCAGGAATTATACCATGATAAAGATGTTAAAAAAAGAAGTACAGACAACTTTACCTACATAAAAAAAACAACAAAAAAATTTCTCTCTGGTTTTTTAAAATGTTGCTGTTTTATTCCTTGAGCTAGTAAAGGACAATGATAGTTATTCTGCCATAAGGCAGTCTTTAATATATTTGGATACAATTTGTATACCATTACTTTCCTGAGTAGTCTCATTAAATGCTACAAATATCTTCAATTATTATTACTGAGGAATAATTTCTATTCTGTTACTGCATAGCCTTCTTCAGATAGACATAACACAAATAAGAAAGAGACTTCAGAGGTATATAACTGTGGCCTAGCAAGACTTTCTTTATGTGATAATAAAGTGGATCCCTCTGGGAAAATGCCTTTCCTTCCAAAAGTGAGCTTCTGGTTCTAGGGTCCTCTGTCCTGGGAGAGTCTTAACTCTGCAAACTCAGGGGTAGGAACTAAGGAGGCAAGAGTTGCCTCATCCACTCACATATCTTTGACCTCATCTATATCCTTTGCTGTTCTTTTGTTTGCTGGCTAAGCTGTAATCTCAACACTGTCACATTCACGTTGTCATTTGCATCAGTTATTAAAGCAGACCAGCTCTTGTGGTTGGTGCTGGTTCACAGATCTCTTCTCCTGTCCTAGTTATTCTTCTCAGAGAACCTCACAAGTCATACATGGCATTCCAATAAACCCAGTTTTCCAGGTGTGGTATGATCAGCACAATTGCAGGTTTGGATTGTTACCCCGTTTGTTCACTTAATGCTGCCTGAAACCTAATGTGCTTTTCTGGAGGATCTGCCACACTCATGACTCGCATCAACTTTACCTTCCACCACACTGCCTGAGTCCTTTTCATACGTCATGGGTATTGTCTCTCCTTTCCCAAACCTGTGCCACTCGCTTTTGAACTCGAGAGCAAATCCTAAGATTTCCTCCAATGAGATCTGGTTGATTGACCCAGCTAGCCAAGATCTTTTTATCCCTTTGCTACACCCTGTCAACATCTTTTTTGGATTCTGATTCTTTCATCCTGGTTAGTCACTGCCCCATTCAGTAACTGGCAAATTGTGCTATGATAATCACTCCTTCTGTATCTACCAGTCAGTAGTAACACTGCTGCACTGATAATACAGAGTAAAGGAACTGATGCACTTACAACTCCCTTCAAGTTTACGTGTATTTAGTTTTCGGTAGACCTTACATATAGTTGTTTAACTTACTATTGATTCACATAATTATCTTTGCTTATATTCTATCTTTCTCCATTTTGTTCAAAAGGAGCTTCTGAGGAATTGTGGCAAACACCTTCCTAAAATTCTTATAGACTAGGGTTACCAGGCTTCACAGACTTAACAGCATAGTGACTCCATAAAGGTGTGCAAAATATTATTCCTGCTTCTCCCAATTCACTCCCCATCCTGCTTTGTGCTTCTGGAAGCTGTCCTTCATACACTGTATTAGTTGTGTTCCATTGTCTGAGACTATCAAAGGGCAGGGGAAGAATGAGATTAAGGTATAAATTTCACCAGATCCCTCTCTTCACAGCCACAGGTAATCAGTGGCTTAGTATAAGTGGCTTAGTTCCTCTTGAATCTCTCTAGTGGACTCTCCTTCAGCTAAAGATACAGCTACAACTCTTTCTAGGTTCTTGTTTATGTTTCTCTCCTTCCCCCTAGAAACTCCAGGGTCAGGGATGGCTGCGGTGGGCTTGCAGATTGTGTGGTCATTCAGGGCCCCATGCTTGGTAATGCTTTGCTGTCCCTGTGTTGAAATCCTTAATAAATTTTGAATAAAGGCCCATACATTTTCATTTTGCCCTTGACCCTACAAATTATGTAGCCCGTCCTCTGTTGGGTGGTGCCAGTTCCCCACAGCTGTTTCACTCTCCTTCTGAGTTTCCTTTAACCATACCCCATGCTCATTGAAGAGTCTCTGCTATAAAGTCACCTCAGTTACCGTCTGGTTATATGCACATTTTGTTTCCTGTCAGGACCCTAACATACAGAAGGGAGTGAGAGGAGTCTGACTTGTTTTGTGAGCCTTGGCTGCTAGTGATCATTGCCTGTTTAGGTTCTCCAAACCTATTCATTTATATTAAAGATTCTAAAATCTTAGCTGAAATCAATGTAACTCTTAACTGTCTCTAATTTATCAAACATCCTTTCATCCCATTTTTAAAACTGGTTGGTATTTGCTGATCTCCAGTTTTATTCCCCTTTATTGTTCTTGACAATCCTTCAAAGGTCACTGGCAGTGTTTGGTTTAATGATCTAATTTGCAAGTTCCTTAGAGACCTTTAGAGATAATTTGAGACCAGAAGCTTACCTGTCCTTCCCTAGCTAGAGCTCCAATTAATTCCCTCTTCCCAATATGTTTTGTCTTTTTTTTAGTCCAGAGAAAGATTTGCTTTCTCT